GGGACCTTGTGCACACATGCACATGCACCCAGTGTGATTTTCAAGAGTCTGGGTCCAAGACTTGAACAGCAACTGGTCATGTGGGAGTCCAGCAACGTAACTGCTATGCCATCTTCTTACCCCAAATATTTAATACTCTTTAAACTGCCAAAAGCTCAACACACCACCAAAGAGTAAAGGTCACTTAAAAAACATTAGAAAATCTTATCCAAAATATTGTATTGATGTCTTTCATATCAAAAGTTAATATTGGATTGTCAGAAAAGTCATGATGCATTTTTTCAAAGTTTTTCTATGCAAAAATTGCATCATGACTCTTATGACAACTCAATAAATTGATGTAGCAGAATGTACTCTGTATCACAAAATATTGCTTTTTACATTATAGTTTTGAAAAACAAAATATGAATATTTAACAACAGTTATCTTGCTAGGGAGAGCTTTTATAAATTACTGTTTTCTTCTTATACTTTTAAATTTTTCATTTTCATAATTACCAAAAGTCTTTAAACACTGCATTATTTGACCAGTTTGAAATAAAGTTCTCTTGGGCCAGCAGGTGGCAGATAAATTAAGGCAGCTGGATCTCATATGGCTTACTGTATGGTTCTAGTCCAGGACCTGGCCACTTGAAAAACACGCCAAGCATGTGTGTGTGTGCCCAAAGTCCCAAGAGGAGAATGGAGGAGAACGAATTGTGGCATGGTCATCCCCTCTGGGGAGTGATTTCTCACTTTCCCTCTCTCTATCTCTCACTGTCTCTCTCTAGCAAGCATGTGCACCTTATAGCAAACTTTAAGAAAAATAGATAACTCGAGGTCAACAGATGGCGTGTTGAGTAAGAGCGCTGTACTCCCACATGGTCGACCACAGTTCGAGTCCCAGACCTAGCAGCTTGGTTTCTTGTTTTCTCTCTCTCTCTCTCCCTCCCTCCCTCCCTCCACCCACTCTGGTCAAATAGAAATGACTGAATATATTGTTATATTTTAAAAAATTCTAATAAAAAATAGCTATCTTAATCCTTGATAACTTGCTTCACATTTATTTGTCTCTCCACCTACCTAAAAAACTATCTGATATATACAAAAGAGTAAACCTTAGGTTTAGTGGCTTGAAAATAAAAAACACAAGGAAAGGCAGATGAGTCAAGAATAGAATTAGAAGAAGAGCTAACTTACACATAAAAATGTCTGCTTCCTGTTCTTGGGAAGAACAAAGACCCTTAAAATTTAAAAATAAATAAAAGGTCACCTGGTGGAACTAATTAAATAAAACACCACTTAATTGTCCTGTTGCATATTCTATCATGAGCTACCATGAGGAAATTATGTTAGCAACTTCCAAATAAGTATTTTATTACACACACACACACATACACACACACACACATAAATATTGGGTCTTCAGGAAAATTATGACACATTTTTGCATTGAAAAACAGAAAAGTATGTCATGGCTTTCCTGATGACCTAATAGTTACTACAGGGCATGTGCATTCACCTGAGAGAGAAAGCGCCCCTAATGAGATGTGGCTATGTGCAATTCTTTTACCTCCATTTCTTCATCTCATCAGGATCTTGTGCACACACACATGCCCAGTGTGTTTTTCAAGCCACTGGGGCAAGGATTCGAACCACAGCCATGTGGGATCCAGTTCCCTATGCACAGCACTTAACCACTGCACTATGGAGTGGAGCTGGGTATGTATATCTGAAATATATGTATATATATATACACACACACATATATATAATTTTTAATTCCCTAAATCAAGAAACAAGAAAGAGTTTTGTGTAGGGTCATAATTTTACTGTTCAGGACAAATACTGATTATCAGATGAGTTTTCTAAAATTACAGAAATAAGCAAAGTAAATCTTTCTTCAGCATTTAAATACTAGCAACATTGACCAAGAAGGAAAATGATAAACCCTTTGTAATTTATTGGATTCCATAAATTCTTTTTCAAGTAGATCAACAACCTAAGAAAGGTAAGTGTGAGAAATGCTTATTAAAGCCAACCAATGACTGTCAGGTATTTTTTCATAAAGAAAAAGAAAAATTGTTTATTTACTGTGAAGGAAATAATGTAATAATTTCCCAGCTGTTAGAATTAATAATAGCACTTACAGTAAACTGTGAAATTAATTGCTATTCTAAATAACATATGGCATGATTGCAGAAAAGGTAAGTTGTCAAACCGAATTGTATATGCTTTGTGTTATTCCCTGTGGCAGACTGCTAGCAGATTATCAAGACTATTTCCTCTTCTTTCTGGGCACACACCTATTTGATATTTTCCAGTTCCCTTTGCATTTATATGTAGACACAGGACTGACTGCTGGCCAGTGGAATGTGGACAGAAGGGATATATGCCTCTTTTGAACCTGCTCACTACAGCCCCCACTGCGGCACTCCCCCAGTTTTCATTTACTGACAGACTGGAGATGACTCTAAGCAGAAAAGGCACAGGATGGAATGAACTTTTGCTGCTTGGAGAAGAGCCACCTGACCAGACACACCCGCACTGGACTATCTTAGGATCATTATTAGTCTGTCCTGTGTATACCCATGCACCCCCCCCCCACTTTTAAGCAGGTGATAACTATGTGCAAATGGCTAAAACCACTCTGGCTGTATGAGCAAGTAACTGGTATCACCAGACCAGTTGCTCTGATTTAAGAACAGTATTGCCTAAGGAGGTCTTTCAAATTTACTCCAGGTTTCTCTCAATAATCAAAAGTGCCTCTGATGAGAAAACTGTTTTCTTAATTACGTTTAACTCAAGGCAGGTACTGTGGTGACCTTCCAATTGTTTTGGAACCGCCCTAAATTTTTGGTTTGGATTTGATCTGGTCATTCACAGATAAAATAGGAAAGATCACAAATGATTTTTTTTTTTGAGAGATTTTTGCTATAGGGCATGTGTGCTCACCAGAGAAACAGAAAATGATAAATCACTCCCCCTCCCCAGGGGGAATGACCATGCTGCAATCCCTTCTCCGTTCTCCTCTTTGGATCTTGGACACACATACACACCAGTCTGGCGTGAGTTTTAAGCAGCTGGGTCCGGGACTACTGTGGGAGTCCAGCGATGTAAGCATTACACCATCTGCTGGTCTCCACAATAAGATATCAACATAATTCTCAAATAATCTTTTACAAAAACAGTTTTCCTTTAGAATCCTAGGTCAAGATTAAATCTCTGAGCCCATTTTACCCAATCCTTTTTCATTCAAGAAGGATCCTCTTGAAAATCAAGGAAGGTGACCTCAGAAATATAACTGCTCTCGGGACCAGCAGATGGTGAAATGGTTACGTCACTGGACTCCCACCTACTTGACCATGGTCTAAGTCCCAGATCTGGCAGCTTGAAACTCATGCTGGGCGCGTGTGTGTGCGAGCCCAAAATCCCGCGAGGAGACTGGAGGAGAAGGGATTGCAGTGTGGCCATCCCCCCTAGTGGGTGATTTCTCGCTTTCTATCTCTCTCTCTCTATGGTGAGCACATGTGCCCTATAGCAAAAATCTTTCTCAAAAAAAAAAAAAAGAAAAAGAAAGAAATATAACTGCTCTTATTTTAGATATGGTTGGCAGTTCTGTGGGGGTGACGAAGAGTCAATTAGCATCTTCTACAAATTAACTCAAGACAAGCAGAAATTTTTCCATTTTTTAAAAACATTTGCTATAGGGCGTGTGCACTCACCAGATAGAAAGTGATAAAACACTCCAAGGGGATGATGACCACACCACAGTCCCTTCTCCGTTCTCCTCTCAGGATTTTAGCATGCAAGCACACATATCCGGTGTGCTTTAGAAGCTGCTGGGTCGTAGATTCTGACCATGCAATGAACTATGTGGTAACCATCTTCCTTAACCATCACAGCACCTGGCTGGCCCACTAGCAATTAGTTTTGATTCATTAGTTTAGCCTGGGTCAAACCCTTCTTTTACCTTGAATAAAAGTCATAAATATTCACTCACCCAAACTCCTCAATGCTCTAAGTTTGAACACTTTCATCTTGCCATGCAGAAAAAAAAATATTACAAGGAAATAAAATCAGACAATAATGAGATATCTCAGACTAAAATGACATTAAATGTTTTTTATTGAACACAAAAAGATAAAACATGGAACTTGAAATTTTTGAGCAAAAGCAGCTCTCCAGGTAAAGCTGCTATACCTTGTGCTAAATAACCTTATGAACTGAGAGTATACAGAATACATATAATATATAAGTTACCTCAACAGCAAAGGAGAAGGAATAGAATACAGTTTTTGAAGATAAAATTTGGTCAAGTGACAAATTTACTTAAAATTTCTAGCCCTTATCCATCTAAATTCAGTATGGTCCTACACGTGTGCATTTGGTATGTGCATACTGAATTCCCATTTTAACAGAAGCTGCTCTTTGGAAGAAATATTTTGAAATTTAGTATTTAGTTGATGTGCCACCAATTTTTTAAAAATTTCTATTTGATGTGTGTGTGTGTGTGTGTCTGTGTGTTATTAATACATACTTTAAAAACCTCAAACCCTTGTATATAAGTAAAGGATCCATGCTTTTTTTTTTTAATTAGCATTGGTGATTTTCAGCTAGTTCTCCTGTGTGTCTAAGAAACTTTATATGTTCTCAACGCGCCCACACAGTCAGGTGGGCTGACAGATACATCAAAAATACTTTATGAAAAGAGGGAGGTAGCTCATGCGAGTTGGCAACCTTTCGTGTATTGTTCCCTGTTGGAGCAGGCTGCCTCCCTTTGACATCTTCCAGTCAAAGATGAAAGGAAAAGCTTTTACTTTGAAACCTAGTGAGCAGTTGTACATTTACTATAATCCACCTTCGACTTGGCTTATTGGGTTTACTAATGCAAGATGACAAATACTTTACACCCAGCACACAGCATTTAAAAAGTACTGAAGAAACATTTCATAGACAATACCGCTTTTTTTTTTTTATGTTAAACATCAGCTTCTATGGGATACATTTCCAGAATGGTTATTTTTATGTTAAACATCAGCTTCTATGGGATATATTTCCAGAATGGTTGTGTTACCACTTTATAAACATTCTAGGCCAAACGAACAGCACAAATAACATCAATGTCATCTTTTTTCCAATATCTGTATCAATTACTGGAGGCTAATCCTAACATATATTCTACTTAAGGGGGGAAAAAGAAGAGAATGACACATTGCAAAGATAGGACTACAGCATCTTAGTTGTAGAGATGATCCTAAGGTGCAGAAAGTGGGGACTCTCGAGAAGGTGATGGTGTGGTTTCTTCAGGTGGAAAAACTGTGAGTGTGCAAGCTCGAATGCCACCAAGGGACTCTGGGAGGTCAAAAACCTTATGCCATTCATCTTTATCTGGATCATATTTCTGCACTATCTCTACCATACAACGGTTATTCCAAGAATACCCACCGACCACATAGATTTTATTTTCAAAGACGGCAACCCCAACATCACTCTGCCCTCTTAACATGGCAGCAATTGGGGTCCACTGGTCAAGGATAGGTGAATAGTATTCACAGCTTAGGACATCATCATAATCACTCGTTCCCCTGAAGTGATTGCCACCAATGACATAGAGCCTCTCTCCAACTGTGCACATGCAGTGCAGACCTCTGACGGTGGTCATTGGTGCCTTCTGGATCCATTTGTCAGTATCAGGGTCAAAGCACATGAGCTCCTTTTGGAAAGTGTCATGAGTAATTCCTCCTAAAGAATGAAAATCATAGGTGTGAGGTAAACAAATTACTGCAAAAATATAAAAGTAAGGAAAGGCTCTCTGTCATAGATAATTAACTTGTAGATTCATATTATGACATTATAGCCTATCAGTGGTGTTCTTTTAAACATATGCCCTATAGGAATATTTTCTCCGGATTAAAAATAAAGAAAATAACATTTCACCCTCCACAAGAATAAAAAAAAAAAAAAAAGCTTATATTCTTGCAATGATCTTCCCAAATAAAAACCCATGGAATTTCAGAGGCTTTACTGAATGAAAATATTTTCCAGCCACTCTTAAAGAGTTGGGTCTGCAGTAAATTCCCACTACAAGGCATCATTCACTTCTTACTGCTTTTTAGTGGCACTAGGATAGAGCACTTTAAATTCCAAGCGGTCATTTTCTTTCTTTCCAAATAAGAAGGTGTCCTCTAGTTGTTTCATTAGGATTGTGATTATGAATGGAGATATTTATCAAAGCACTTTGGAAAAGTTGTGCAAGTCTTGAGCAAATATTAAAGGCTTATAAGAATATTCAGAATTATTTGTTTCTGTAGTTTCTGGTGGGCAAGTGAGGGTGAGTAATGTCATCTGCTCTCACAAAACACTTTTTAAAAGCTAAAGAATCAGAATACTGTATAGATGTGGAATCTTATCTGTGTGAAGTCTGTTGTTAATCTATTGATTCCCCAGCATCTACAAAGTGTATTCTTAGATCACATATAAATCAGTCTCCAGAATCAAGGTATCATACTATGTCTCTTGCAGACAAGGAAGAGAACTACACTAATCTTCAGCCATATCATTCGAAGCTCTATCAACTGGCCAGAGGCAAAAACTGTTTTCATTTCTATATAGTTTGTCTGTGTTTTACAGAATTCACAGAACAGAAAACAGGTTTTTTTTTTTTTTGGTTTGAAAATAAGCTGTGTCTACAATCCTACTTTTGATTGAGAAGGCCGTTTCTGCAAGATATACCAGTTATAGCAAAGCATCACTAAAACAATGCAGGTGTCAGTTTTTTTCACAGAGGATTGGGAGCACTTATTACAGTTAGTACAGCAGCTACATGCATAAAATAGGTAGATGGTGTAAATAATCGATTAGCAGAGCATATGATAGGGTGGCTCTTTCAATATAAGATGTCCCATAGTTGCTCATGAATTGAACATTAGCAGCCTGCCAAACACACACTACTGTCCTTTCACTGATCTTTCTTAATTACAGATTTCATATGGCAGCATTCAGAGAATCAGACCACAAACATCACTTTAACACCTTTGTTTTTTAATAATGTAACTGCAGGCCTGGCACTGGCAGGCCTTTAAGTGGGAAAAACTGTCACAGGAAGACTACGTTAGGACCAAATGAGAAGAACCAAACAAAGTCGAAGGTCAATACCAGAGGTGATCAATACACTAAAGAAATGCTTTTTTCTAAGTTTTCTAGGATGACCCAAACACCAACAATATGAGGATGAAAGGTGTTGCTGGGACACTGAATATACTATAATCATTTTAGCTTTTTTAAATAGGAAAATATGTCTGCATATGCCTAAAACACAGATAGCCAGCACAGAATTATGTATAATGCCCATAGTATAATCCCATTTACCATGCTCAGGAAATAGAAAATACACATCATGAGTTACATTTAATAGAGACTAAACATTATTGCATATTTTATTATGCAAACTAGTAGCATGTTTTATGCACAATAAGTTTATATATGATTATATATTTTCTTATATAGTGCAGCTAAATATTAAATAAGCAAACTAACTGTTGCTATAGAGAACGTGAATAGTGTTTATTAGAATACAAAGTATGGAGACTGGAAAGCAAATTGTAGAATTTGAATGCTTTCCAGTTTTTTCTAAGTTACACATTTACAGCAGGATTGGTTTGCCGCTAGTCTTAGAAACTTACAGAACACCCAAGGTATTCATATGCAAAGGTATACACAAAAATATATTCCAAAATAAACATAAATTCAATTTTGATTATCCGTTTTTCTAAAGTATCATTATTACTACCACTATACAGAAAGATGGCATATAGTTAAGAGGTTATGTATTCTATTGTGTTCACATGATAACTATTTACCTGAAATATACATCACTCCTCCATACACAGTTCCAGCATGGCCATAGTGGGGCTCACTCATTTTGGCAACATAGGTCCATTCATTTGTTCTCGGATTGTAACATTCTACTGTCGCTGTTTAAAAAAAAAGAAAGAAAGACAGAAATTATCTTCTATCTCAAATATAACAATTATTTCTCATTTTAGGTGAAAAATAATAATATCAAAATAAAAGCATATATATTAATAGGTGTAAGAGATCCTTGAAGAGTGGCTCTTATAGTAATTATTGATACTATATTAATAATATGAACGATTAATACATATTACATTAGACTAGATAATGTAAGAATCTAACACATTTCTGTCATTGCAGAAATTGCTAAGATTCCTTTCTTCTGGAATTTAAGTACAACTTTTAATTTGTCATTTCTTTCATTTCTCTGCTCTAAATATGTGGCAAGAAAAGATTTTTAAAAATCACAATGAAGAAGAAACACCTCAACTCTGCGTCTCCAGGTTGACACTCCATATAGGAACAAACATTGATGTATTGAAGCAAATTTTTAAAATAAAGAATGATAATTGAGGGCCAGGATGTGGTAAAAAGGGAAACCCCTACTCTCTTAGTGGGAATGTAAATTAGTACGGCCACTGTGGAGAATGATATGGAGGTTCCTCAGAAACCTACAAAGAGAACTACCATAAGACCCAGTAATTGAATTCTTAGATGTTTACCCAGAGGATAGGAAAATCCTCAGTCAGAAAAAAATACTTTCATGTCCATGTTTAATGCAGCATTATTTACAATTGCTTGGACATGGAATCAACCCAAATGTCCAAGAACAGACAAGTAGATTGAAAAAATGTGGCATGTGTACTACATGGAATACTACTCAGTCATAAAAAACAATGAGACCCTCACGTTTGATATAAAGAGGTTGAATATGGGAGACTTAATGCTAAGTGAAGCAAGTCAGATTATAAAAGACAGACATTGTATGTCTCCACTCAATAGATATCAAATGTCTGTCCTCTATAGCAGAAATAGAAAGACTAGAAGATATAATAGCAAGGAGGGCAACTGTAGATACTGGAGACAGTATGGGGGAGAAACAGGGGGTGAGTAATGTGGTGGGGGGGGGTCCGGGAAAAACACAAACAACACATTTAATATATACTAAAATTCAAAGTTATCTGCTGATGATAATGTATATGGTAAAGTCTTTGACTTCACTAATATGCACTGTATTCATGCTGGGAAAAATCATGTTGTTCACTATAAAGATGTACAGTGATTAAATGTAAGTTTTTAAAAAAGAAGTAAAATTTTAAATTGAGAAGGAAAATATACACCTCTTTATTTTATGTTCTGAAGCTTATGGCTTTATTTCCTCTCCAGACTAATAATAATTTCTCTATACTAACAATAATTTCTCATGTATACTTTGAAGCCATTAATCCTTTCGTTGTTTTCTCTCTCTCTCTCTTTTTTAAAAAGCAAGAGGTACAGGCAGGTGGCACGATGGTTAGGGTGCTGGATTCCCACATGGCCAATCATGGTTCAAGTCCTGGACCTGGCAGCTTGCTTTCTCACTCCCTCCTGCCCTGGTCAAATTTAAATAAATACATTAATTAAAGTAAATGAGTAATTCATTTTGAAAAGGGCACAGAGAAATAAGGCTATTATGAGGACTCTGATGAAAAGCATAAAATATATTTTGACTTGAAAAGTTCATATTATTTACTGCAGACATTGCTGATTGCTAACCCAATTTCTTGTTTCCCCTAATCCTGCTTTTTTGTTTCCTAATAGAACCACAACACAGCTCAGAGAAGCACCAAACTAAAAACAAAATCCAATTTAGCAGATTCCCTTGAAGCTCTGGTTGACCACATGACAGAGTTCTAGGGAGTGACATGTAAGTAAGAAGTCTATTGAGTGGGTTATACGATCAAGATACTGGAATAAGGTTTAGCTACTTGCTGACAAATGCAATCCAAACTGATGATTCAACTTTTGAATGAGATTCTCTATTTAAAATAGCAGAATTCTGTAATATCTTCCTCCAAATACTGGCAACTTCCACAGCTAATAACAAGTTAGTTACGTGTTCCACTACTGTGTTTTACTATTTTCAGTCAGTGGATATCTTTTTAAAATTTAGTACAATTTCATTTGCCTTTAGCATGACTTTCACCTACATGCCAAGCAAAATCCTACTGAATGTACATTATCATTCTTCACTGAACAGAGAATTGAGAGTATTGATTGGTCCTTGACATAAGCAAAGTAATTAATGGGAGGACTTTATATGATAAAAGAAAGTAATCTAATCACACATCTTATCAGAAAAAGGGTTTTAAATGACTTTCATAGATCATCTTCTCCATTTATTCGAAGCCAAAGATAGATTTCACTATAGTTCTACACTTGATAATGTAGGACTCTGCCTTAAAACTTAAATATTTTATTTTATTATTTTTTTTGAGAATTTTTTGCTACAGGGCGCATGTGCGCTTGCCAGAAAGAGAGAGACAGAGAGACAGAAAGCGAGAAGTCACTCCCCAGGGGGGATGGCCACACCGCAATCCCTTCTCCTCCATTCTCCTCTTGGGATCTTGGGCACGCACGCACACACGCCTGGCGTGAGTTTAAGCCACTGGGTCCGGGACGCAAACTGTGATTGACTACATGGGAGTTCAGCGACATAGCATTACGCCACCTGCTGGTCCCAACTTTAAAATTTATAGACTGTAACTGTTCTTTCTTCTATCTAATTTAAATTGTTCTGATATAATCTCCATTAATTTTTCTTGTTCCTTTTATAATGAAATTATGAATTGAATAGCTACCCACATTTTATGATTATTAATATTTTCCTATGTACAAAGATAATGCTCTTCTTCTGTTGATGAGCTAATTGCATTTTTTTCCTAATAGGACTTAAAAAGATTCATCTATACTATCACATACAGAATCCTCTCATTTCAAGAGGGCTATTAATCACCAATAACACAATAACTATATAATAGTTTGTCATCCCTAAACTTTTCTTCTTCCAGCTGAGTGAGTATCGGTCTCCTTTAGTTTTCCCAGTCCTTTATCTTCTCTGTCAAACCTTTAGACTTTTTCCATGCAGAATTTCTATTGTTATTAGTAAAATCAATAGCGTTTAGCTCTGAAATAGAATGCATCTTGAGTGCCCTATATATTCTAGTTATCAGTCCCTTATCTGAAGCATAGTTTGCAAATATTCTTTCCCATTCTGAGGCTTGTCTCTTCACTCTGATTATTGTTTCCTTTGTTGTGCAGAAGCTCTTCAACCTAATATAGTCCACTTGTCTATTTTCAGGATTACTGTCTGTGCTTTGGGGGTTGTATTTAAGAAATATTTGCCTACCCCAAAGTCTTCAAGAGTTTCCCCTGTGTTTTTCACCAGTAGTTTTATAGTGTGAGTCTTTATATTTAGGTCTTTGAAACATTTTGGGTTAAAAGGTAGATAAATGAGCTTAATAGACAGCTTTCCAAGGAAGATATATAAATGGCCAAAAGGCATATGAAAATGTTCAATGTCTCTTATCATAAAGGAAATGCAAATAAAAACCATAGAGAGATACCAGTGGTTTTGATTTAGCCCTGGTCAGAATGGCTATGACAAAAAAAAAAAAAAAAAAAAACCAGCCTCTCCAGCACTGTTTATCAGAATAAACATTAGTACAGCCTCTGTGAAGAACAATTTGGAGGTTCCTCAAAGATCTACAAATAGAACTACCATATGATCCAGTAATTCCACTCCTGGATATTTACCCTAAGATCAGAAAACATTTAGTTGGAAAGACACTTGCACATTCATATTTATTACAGCACTATTCACAATTGTTAGGACATGGAATCAACCTAAGAGACCAAGAACAGATGACTGGATTGATAAACGTAGCACATATACACTATGGAATATTACTCAGTCATAAAAAGCAATGAGATGCTGTCATTTGATACAACATGGATGAAGACAGAAGATTTAATGCTAAACAAAGTAAGTCAGACTCTGAAAGAGAGACACTGTATGTTTCTGCTCAATATATACCGAATGTCTGAACTTTATAGCAGAAACTGAAACACTGGAAAATGTAACAGCAGAGATAGCAAGTGTAAATATGAGAGACTATATAGAAGGGGGTGGACAGTTGGGGGTAGGAGGGAGGGACTTAGGGGAAAAAAAGAACATTTAACAGACACAAGAATGGAAAGTTAATGTGTACAGTAATATCTTTGACTTGACTGACATGCAATGCATTTCTGCTTTTAGAACCCACATTGTATGCTGTAAAAACGTACAATGATTAAATTTAAAAAGAAAAAATAGAATGCATCTAGTTAAAATGTAGATACATGTACTCTTATTTCTATTTTCCATATTTACAAGACAGTCAGGTAGATATAGGTTAGTGCCAACAATTTGGCGGAGCGGGGAGCAGTTCAAGGAATGATGCAAGGCAAGGAGCTGGAGCAACAAAGCACTGGTTCCATCACAGTCTGCAGGAGCTGGGAATGGTTAGGAGGCCACTGGGAGAATCTAGAGCAGGAGTCGGTAAACTTAAGCCAGTGGACCAAAATCAGTCCACTGCCTGTTTTTGTATGGCCCACAAGATAAGTAAGTGCCTTTATATTTTTGAAGGGTTGGGAAAAGATCAGGAAACTATTTGGTAAAATATTTAAAAAATTATATGAAATTCAAATTTTAGCATTCATAAATAAAGCTGTATTGGAGCAGAGCTTTACCTATTGGTTTATAAATTCTCTGCAGTTGCTTTTCACTACAACAGCAGAGACTGAATGATCCACAAAGCCGAAAACATTTTTTCTGGTCATATACAGAAATTTGTTGACCTCTAACCTAGAAAATCAACTTCAGTAGCTTGGTGGTGTAGTGTTTTAAGTTAGAGAATCCTTCCTAATTTAAGAATTACATACACTTAGGTTTGTTATTTCACAGGCATTAGTAGTTCTTATTTTTTCAGATGACTGCAATGGAATTCAGAATCCATCCCTAGGGATGATGTGGAATTTATTCATTTTTTGAGATTAGGAAAGACACTAGTCTTAAGAAAGATTGGAAGGTGTAATAGCA